TTCCTTGACCATCTCCTTGGTGAAGAAGTTGAGTTTTTCCTCCAGCTTGTTGCTCTTGGCAGGGCTTGGAGAGCGACCGTTGAGGCGAGGTCTCTCGTCCTTTCTCTCGTCCTCTTTCGTGAAGCTCGTGTTACTGTTCAGACTCGTGATGCTGGACGTGCGCTTCTTGGCAGTATTCTCTGCATACTGTTTATATCCCTCAATGGCTTTGTCGTAAGTGTACTCCTCTGTGTACAGGTTCGCATTGTTGGTATTGAGGATGTCCGAAGTCAGGCTGGATCCGTGTCCGTTGATCCTCGGCTCCTCTTCCTTTGAAACCCCAGTATCCAGGAGCGAATCGTGAGTTTCTTTCTTGTCTCCCTGTGTAAGACATGCAGTGTGTATAGACATTGTGCTGGAGGAACAAGTGATTTTTACAGACATCAAGTTGCATTCATCATTCCTAAAAACACAATATACATTCTCATAAAAAGCGTAGAACACGAGAGGAGCGCAAGCATACAGTGTAAGACCAAACTCACGAGTGCCGAGGAGGTGTCGCTGATGTTGTCCTCGGCGAACACCCCGTCGCTGCCGGTGTCCGAACCCGTGCAGAATCCTGCGTCGCTCTTGGCGTCCTTGTTGTCCTGGTCCAGGTCCTTGACGTCGTTGTCTTCCTGGCCGTCGTAGAGGGAGCCGCTGCTCTTGACTGTGGACAGCCCGAGGTCAGCCAGGTCATTGTTGTCGTCGTCATGCACCACAAGGTTGTACCTTCGACCTCTTTTGTTCCTGTGGAGGAAAAGAAACCACTTTTACTTTTTCGATGGAGCAGCAGCACCTACTAGTTCAGTATTGTTCAGGATGTGTGTGTGTGTGTGTGTGTGTGTGTGTGTGTGTGTGTGTGTGTGTGTGTGTGTGTGTGTGTGTGTGTGTGTGTGTGTGTGTGTGTGTGTGTGTGTGTGTGTGATATTAATATATATATATATATATATATATATATATATATATATATATATATATATATTCATATATATATAGTGAGTATATATACATATGTACATACGTGTGTGTGTGTGTGTGTGTGTGTGTGTGTGTGTGTGTGTGTGTGTGTGTGTGTGTGTGTGTGTGTGTGTGTGTGTGTGTGTGTGTGTGTGTGTGTGTGTGTGTGTGTGTGTGTGTGTGTGTGTATATATGTATATATATATATATATATATATATATATATATATATATATATATATATATATATATATATATATATATATATATATATAATATATATATATATATATATAGTATATATATATATATATATATATATATATATATATATATATAGAGGAGAGAGAGAGAGAGAGAGAGAGAGAGAGAGAGAGAGAGAGAGAGAGAGAGAGAGAGAGAGAGAGAGAGAGAGAGAGAGAGACAGAGAGAGACATATATCACAACAAGAATAATAACCCAGCGCCCCCTCAGCGTCCGACCTGGCTTGGCCCGCGCGTGAGAGCTCCCTCCCGACCCCCCTCCCTTCCCCCCTCCCTGGACGACGCGACTCACTTTTCCTCCTGCATTTCACTGAAGGTCTTGCTCTTACGCCGCGTCCTGTTCAGCTCCTCCTCCTGCTCGTTCTTCTTGATCTCGATGACTCTCTCGAGCGCGTCCTCGTTCCTCTTTCTCCGCGAGCTTTTCCATTTGTCCAAGTTCTGCAAATGGCGGAGATTGAGTTAGCTTCGGGATCCCTGCGCGGAATAATTTGAGGTGGGAAATAAGTCATTTATAAATGGATATATTTATTTAATGGAATAACTGCGATTACGAATATAACTAATGGATATTCAGCAATATTAATTCGTATATATTTTTAAACACAGTTAACGAAGGATGAAACATCAATAATAAAGTTAACTGATGTAAAGCTTGGATATTTAGTTTAAAATAAATCATCGTACTTTACTTTTATATTTATATAATAATATCAGTAACACAGCATAAGATAAACATGACATGAACTGTAATAAATAAAATGTGTGTGTGTGTGTGTGTGTGTGTGTGTGTGTGTGTGTGTGTGTGTGTGTGTGTGTGTGTGTGTGTGTGTGTGTGTGTCTATTAGTTTTCAAAATCATTATTGTTTGCTTTTTCTGTGAAGTTTGTCTGTGTGATATGCTTTTGTATTCGTTCTGGTGACAGACGGGTGCAAGAGACAAACTGTATCAAATATAAAACTAACAACTAAATACTGTACATTAACGTATAAGCCAAGAAAGTACATATATAACTCAGATTTACAAATTTAGTGTACAACATTTAATACAAAATCACACTTGAATTCCTAAATATTCACCAAAACAGGTATAAATCACAAATTCTATAAAAGCAAGCCAATTTTTCTTTTTTTCTTTCTTTTTTTTTTGTCTCGAATCCTCTCTATCAAAAACTATCCCAATTAACATGTTTTTAAAAATCCCTTGACGAATCCTACGAAATCATAACTTAAATAATAACTATGCTAACACTTTTAACCACTGTAAAAAAAAGTCAGACACCTAATTCCCTAGTAAAAAAGAGACGAGACCCATCCTACAATTATGAACTAAATCGTTTATGAAAACTGCTTACCAACAGATCCTGCTCGAACTCCTCATACGAACCGTAATTCCACAGGACGCTCAAAAGTTCCCGCAGTGTGAAAATCTCAGCCATCCCTTCGCGTCACATCGTCCCACCAAAAATCTCTTCCGTCAAGAAGAAAATACAAACAAACGAGCACAAACAACACTACCCCCGCCCACAAACTAACGAATCTAACCACGAACCGCCCTCCTGCAGGTTCTACCAGCGCGGTTCCCAACACTGGCGTGGTTCATTCCCTGTTCCGTGGCGAACCCCACCTAGAAACCTTAAAAGATCCCCGAACGCTTGCTCACGTGATATTACACCAGCAAAATTCCCTGACAACGCAGTCCATCACTTCTCTATGCTAAGGTATAACGAGAATCGAACATCCATCTTATAAAGATACTCACTTAAGGCCTACTAACATCTGAGGCGTGTCAAAGTATGTTCATTCTACTGTAGCTTACAACTAGCAGTGTTTTAAAGCAGCTAAAATCTATATGCTTGCTAAAGCAGAGTATATAATAAGCATTTTTTGATGTATACAAAATGATACCAATATCTATATGTAAAAAAAGGAAATAATAATAATAACACTGAGATACGAAAGAAATGCATAGCATAACTCTTGTGTGGTGCACTGGTGTAGGAAATGAAATCAGATTTCCATTATAAAACTAAACTGCATGCTCGGGAAAGCTTCGGTCAATGAAGGTTATCACAGTGCCTAAAAAGGTCATACCACCAAGAGTGACAGGGGCCGCTGCTTGGACGGGCTAGTGTGTGACAATAAAAAAGCTCACTCCAAAATAATAATACTGATCATAAGAGCAATCATAAAATAACAGGTGATCGGTGCGGAAAGGAAGCACACACACACAAGACAGCGCACGGGGGAAAATAAACCGCTTTGATCGCAGTTGGTACAAAAGGGGGACGGGAAATCTGGAACACTTACCGTTTGCCAATCTGTGTCCTCATCGTACGGGCTCTTGGACTGGGAGGAAGAGGAGGAGGGCTGCTAGTGGAGGAACGGACACTGTCAGTGACTAGCCCACACAACGGCCACATCCCGCACGCGCACTCACTCGGTCTTTTCTTTCTTTCTTTCTTTCTTTCTTTCTTTCTCTCACACACACACACACACACACACACACACACACACACACACACACACACACACACACACACACACACACACACACACACTTGTTCTGCTGTTATAAGTGCGTATCATGTTCATTTACTCTTTCTTGATATTCCAAAGGGTCTGCTAATCAAGTATAAAGACACAGTAAAAAAAATGGGATCCGAATGATTAAAGAAGTGACGAAATTAATTTGAATACCAATTTACTTTTCCTGACCATGATGGAATAAAAGACACTGAAAAAGTATCTGAAATTCAGTTATTATGGATCCTTTCTTTTATTTTCGTTTATAATATTTTTCATTTATCAATTTAAAGCAGATCATTATCAAGGAGCATTATTTCAACATTAAAGGGAATTAGTGTTTCCCAAAATATGATATTTAATACAGTTTCATAAACATAAGCAGACTAAAAATTTGCGAAATTATATGAGCTTGGGTGACTAAATAACTGTCCCGCTGACCCAAAAAAGTATCTGAAATTCAGTTATTATGGGATTTAAAGCAGATCATTATCAAGGAGGGAATTAGTGTTTCCCAAAATATGATATTTAATACAGTTTCATAAACATAAGCAGACTAAAAATTTGCGACACTATAAAATTATATGAGCTTGAAGTACAGCTATGCTAAGAAAAGTCATGCTCTATAAAACAACGAACAAAACAATTTTTTAACTAGGAAAGTTGGAGGAGGGAGAGTAGGGGTGTTGGAGGGGGGGGGGGGGGGAACAATATCCCATTATTATTCGTCGATGAAGGCAGAATTCGAAAAAAAAAAATAATTGGATTCTCACAAATATAAAAGACAGGCACTCAATGAGTAGTCATTGAAACATTTCCAGTCACGAGGCGAATAAGGGGAAAATGGCAGTTGTGGTTAATAATAATTTTCTACAAAGGGGTCAAGAGAGTGGCGGTGGTGAGGTGTTGAGAGGAGCAGCTCGCTTTTGCACTCCCGGCTCAGTCAAAACACACTTGCAAAACACCTACACGTTCAAAAATACTTTAGTTGAAAAAAAAAGTTACATGAGTTATAAAGTTATCTTTAAAAAACACTTCTAAATGAGTTATATATGAGTTAACTATACTTTTTGTGTTCAGTTATCTGCTCATAAAACTTTACTCAAACAAACTGATATGAAAGGAAACAATAGTAAATCATCATAAAAAGGTAAGAAAAACAGTTCAGAAAAAATGCTACTTATTACTGAGTTAGTACTAGCATTAGTATTGTTAGTTATACAGAAGTTAGAACAAACATTGAACAAGGGACGCTTACAGATTAGTTTTTAATTCTTGTGGTTTGATTAGTCCTAAGAAGCTTCACGACCGACGGAAAAAAACGTTGAAAAGTCGAATGGTTTGTTTAGAAAACGGCTGACGAGCAAATAACCTATTGCCCACTTAATTGCTCGTAACTGCGCACTGGGCTACATTTGAAGATAAAACATCATCTACATGACTACTTATACTAATGATTTTCTTTCTAGTATCTGATTAACGTCAAGAAACAAAGGTGTAGATGATTTAGATAGATAACTTTAAAGCGCGTAGGAAAAGAAAACAAGACAATTTGGGCGACAGTAGCAGAACAAAGTCTTAGCGGAATGCTGGGTACGTTTGAGAAAATGAATCGTTTATGCCAAGACAATTCTAAATGCTCTATGCAGATCTATCGCTTGCAGTGCCCTCGAGATCTGTACTGGAGAGGATCTAACTTTGAACTTTTATCTCCATTTCATTTTTTCTACATCTTTTAAAATCGCTCTGTTGTATGCGACCATCATCTAATATAGTTCATATCACTTAATAAGATTTTGTTCTCTTTTATTACTTTTTTCCTCCAGGTGTGATCTTACTAATGTAACTGTACAGACTTATATCGTTCTCCAGCCACATTCCCGAAGACGCATTTACTCTAGAATTATAACACAATTCAACATGCTACACTGAAATCACATCCGCGCACTGGCAATCCTTTACATCCACTGGACATGCAACAACATAAACGGAATTTCAAAATGCACACATAATGCAATGAAAGATTCATTACTTTAAAAACATGGACGATCAAAAATACAGTTAGGTTGCTCACCCACATTCGCTCACGCACTCGTACACGCACACAGCGGAATCCGTCTTACCTTGTATACACACAAGTATATATACAACGCACGTGTTGTGTTAACATATGCTATTCTACCCCGGGATTCACAACAACACATGCAGCTAACCAAAACACATGTTAATCATCACCTAGGTTCTTAAAAAAGGAATCTAATGTTGTTAATGAAATTCCACCACGCCATTCATTCTACACGTGGCGTCGGCACGAGGAACCTCACGCGCTCAGCTGTTACGTAATGCTGTAGCCGCTCTCTTTCTCAAGAAACTGCGAACTCATTCAAGTATCTATTGTTACTTTTCTGTCTTCTTCCACAGCGCGTGAGGTTCCGAAGTGCCGCGTTGGCCCATCGTTAGTGAACGAAAGAATCGATGTTTGTTCTTCGTCATTGCGAGGCGTGGCATGCTTCTCGACTTAGGTTAGTAACTTCCACCGGCCGAGACTCACACCCTTGTTCACGAGGGGGAGGATGGTTAGTCTACTTTTATTTACTACTTGTTCATTTTAAAACATGAAGGCCAACACCCCTAGAGTGAGAGGTACGGTGACAGACACCCGAATCCTTGAACAGTTCGTACGAATGAATTCCTTGGAAAAGGGTTTAATCAACTGTGCATCCGTGCAGGATTCCGTTTAAAATGCTATTGGGGTTCAGTTAGTTTCCAAGGCGAAAAGAGAGAAGGAATAACCAAGGAGAGGATAAAAGACCTCGGCAAAGTCTCCCCGCGTGTCGTCACGGCGGGCCTGGACAGCTCACCGCAACGACACTTTTCCGACCGACCTCCATTCGCTCTGTCATAACGTTCTGTATCTCCCTCTATCTCGCAACGACCAGCGGGAGAGGTCCTTCATTACGACAGCCCGGATAGAGACCGGAGGGAAGAGAGGAGAAGCCGAGAGGAGGCGACTCGAGCCGAGAGACACGCACCTGCTGCCAGTCCTCTTCCTCGGCGATCAGGTGCTTCCTCATCGCCTTCACGGCCTCGGCCTTCTTGATCTGCTCCGTCGCCGACTTGTACAGCCCCGCCGGCCCGGTCTGTGGCGAGGGAAGGCGCGGCTTGAACCACTTACTCATGTTTAGGATACTTCGCTATCTTTACCTACCTAATACATACATGCATGAATATATATATATATATATATATATATATATATATATATATATATATATATATATATATATACGAAATCGAAGTCGAAACTTCAGCTGCAGGCACTGGATGTACTGAAAACAGGGTTTCCTGAAATCAGAGTTTTAGCCCTAAGAAACCCAGGAAGGCGACTTCCCGCGTTGCTTCAGTTTCAATCAGCGTCAAGTGTTACCAGTCTAGAGTGCGGTCATTACATTCGCCGACACGAGTAAGTAAGCTGGTGGATGACTACCATCCCAAGATAATTTTTAATCACAACAGTAAAGATAAATCAGGCCTGGCAACAATAACATCAGTGATGGCAACAACAATAATAACAACAGTGTATGATAACAATAATAATAACGACGCCAACAGGAAGCATGCGAGTTCGTGGCGATTACATTTCCAGAGTCCTGCCAGGGGCTTGCAACGGCAGGACCTTACAGTGCATGGCTACATGGTTTACCTGAGAGCGCTGCCACCGATTGTGTGCAAAGTTTGAAGGAGGCTGGACCGGGAGGGAGAAAAATAAGGCACTTTAGCATAAAGATTAAGAGTCCAATAATATTTTTTTTTATATGGATAAGTCATGCAATGCCTTCTGCCATATTGCATGCAAGCCGAGGCGATATATTCACTCGCAACTGTTACCACAAGAAAAGAGTGCCACGCCTGCCCTCCTACAGGCTGGCTCAGGACCATTCTAACCCGGGCCTCGCAGTTGCACCCGTTTCCAAAACCAAACCAAAGTCCTCTTGATTAACGTGAAAGTGTTTGCGAAAAGTGCCCGAGCAACTTAAGGACTGCCAAAGTGGCCTAAAAAAAACTAGTCCTGACTCTCCAGACACTTTTCTTAAACGCTTCACACTTTCAAGAAGCAAACGGACTTAGACAATGAGAGAAAAAATCACAAATAAAATAACACTAAATGAGAAAAAAAATACTAAGAGGCTAAAAGCTCCTCCTAAATGAAGAAAAAAACAACTGGAATTCACCTTCACGAACTGCATAGCGTCCGCCTTGATCTTGGGCTGCGTCCTCGTGATCCTCGAAGGAACATACTCACTTGTTTTATCCTGGCGAGGGAAACGAGCATATTACAATGGCCGACATGAATTTTGGACACATCGCTTATTGATATATCTTCCCTGACTCAAAATAATAGAACATTTATCATGAAAATGAAGCTAATATAATCACGAAAAAATAAGATAATCCGTGAATCCCGCGTGACGGACATCCAATAATATCTAAGATTTTTTTTTAAAGCAGATGAGAGACATGCAAACTCGAACGCACAGATTTGTCGGCCAAGCAGTCGAGAGATTTGGTGCGGGCGGCAGAGGTGATGGGCGTCCTGTGCGAGTCATTCTGCCCGGTGTTTCGCACGTTGCCCGGCATCTGGTGGAAGAGTGGAGGGAGGGAGGGGAGAAAAGGCCAGATTAATTCAAGTTTAATGACGCTAATGAGCATTAACATAAAGTCTCGTCAGTACCGAGCCATAGTGTGAAAATAAATAAATAAATAAATGTACTACAACAATGTCAAATATGTTAATTTCTCTTACTTTGTTCGTTTTTATCTATCTTTTTCTTACAGTTTAAAGATAACAACGTTTTTTTGTGTGCTCACTTTGGCGGTTTGTGAGAACTACCAGCGTGTGCAGAGCAAGGTGCCGGGGGCCATTACGCGGGGGTGGGGTGAGGGGGGACCGGACCCCTGGACGCGGGCTTCGGAGCGTCTCGAAACCTCCTCCCAACTGCCGTTTTCCTCGCTCCTCTCCTCTTCTTGTACCTGGCAGAAGAGAAAACATCGTTAGAAAACATCAAATAACACGTTGATAAGACGAGCCAAAAAACAAATAATAATAACAAATAAAAGTAAAACAGAGCTTTACATAATGGAAGACGAGTCGGGCAAAAAATAACGAATTTGAGGCTATTTTTTCCTGCATTCCTTCACGATGTAATAACGACGACGTCCGCAACACGAAGCAAAAGTCCTTCAGCCTCATTTCGGGAGACCCTCGGAGGGGTTCCCAAGATGCGCAAACCACCCACGCCCAACACACGCCTCCCCCTTCCACCCGCCGCCCACGCCCCCACACCCTCGGCCTCAGCCTCTCTCTTGCTCCCCATCTCCCCTCCTCCTCCCCAACGCCCCTATCCCTCTCCCCTTCCCCGCCCCTAGATCCCCCCACCCATTAGGTACCCCCCCCCCGTGCACAACGCCCACAGGGTCCCCTCCAGCGTCCCCCCGGGTCGACCCTCCGCTAACCACCAAATTAGCTCGTTCGCTAATGCTCCCCCGCGCGCCCATTTCCTCATCGTGCTCGCGTTCGGGCAAAGGAGGTGGGGGGGGGGGGCGTCGGGGCGCAAGCCTAGAATTACGACGGGCGGAGAAGTCGCAAGAACACGAGATTCGTATAAACACATTTGGTAACTGATGTGTGCCCCTCCCCCTCTGTCTCTCTCCCCTATTCTTTATTCGGTTTATCTCCTTCGGTTTCTATCTATCTATTTTATCTGTATGTTGTCCTTTTTTCCCTTCTTTTTCGCTTCCGTCTGCGACTTCGTCTTCTCATTCTCCTGTTCCTGTTCCTTTTCCTTCTCCTTCTCCTTCTCCTTCCCCTTCCTTTACTTTCCTTCTTCTCACCCTCCTCCTCCTCCTTCTTCTTCTTTTTCTTTTTTTCTTCTTCGTCGTCTCTTCTTTCTCCTGTTCCTTCTCTTCCCCCTTCCCCTTCCTTTCCTTCTTCTTCTTCTTCCCTTTAGCACACACCCGCATTTCTTTCGCTAATGAGGCTCCCTTCCTCGAGCATGACCCAGAGGAATCATTACTTGGGAGCATTTTCCTTTTGCTTTTCCTGTCGGCCTTAACCTTGGCCTCGTGTGACTGGCATCGTCCTCCTCCGGGAAATTGTTCTCTCTCTCTCTGTCTGTTTCTCTCCCCTTCTCTCTCTCTACGTCGGTCTGTCTGTCTCTCTGTCTCACTCTCACTCTCCCTCCCCCTCTCTCCATATTTTCTATATTTTTGGTCTGACGTCCGTTCTCACTCTCATTCTCCCTCTCACTCTCACTCTTTTCACATTTTCTATATTCTTTGTTTGACGTCCGTTCTCATTCAACGTTTTGTCATCTTAATGCTGTCACTCGAACACTCGGCCCTTCGTCCCTCACATCAGCAACAATCAAAAGAAATACTAACTACAACATACTTTTTGACAATAACAATAACCGAAGACGACAAACTCAACAATAACGACAAAAGCCAAACTAGAAAAAATCAGAGAGAATAAATATACATGTATATATATATATATATATATATATATATATATATATATATATATATATATATATATATATATATATATATTACGTCGAAGATACGCAAATCTTACACGCAAATCTCAACTGCTCTCTGCGTTCTGAGCCGCCCGTAACTCTTCATCTCAATCCCTCATCCATTTTCCGAGTCCATCGACCGACAAACCGAGAAACCGATAAAACGGCGGCGATAACGAGCAACAAATTCCTCCAATCCAAACATTACGACATCGCCGACGTCCGCGCGAATGCTGCCCCGGTTCCCTGCCTCGACCCTTCCTTGGCGCGGAGACATCGCTGGTCGGCGAGGGAGGAGACGCAGGCCGACGCTGCCCGCCTCCTCCCTTTGCGCTGGCTGTCTGGTCGTCTCTTTGTTCGTCTGTTTCTCTGTCCGTCCGTCCGTCCGTCTGTCTGTCGTCTGTCTGTCTGTCTGTCTGTCTGTCTGTCGTCTGTCTGTCTGTCTGTCTGTCTGTCTGTCTGTTGTCGTGTCCGTCTGTCTGTCTGTCTGTCTGTCTGTCTGTCTGTCTGTCTGTCTGTCTCTGTCTGTCTGTCTGTCTGTCTGTCTGTGTCTGTCTGTCTGTCTGTCTGTCTGTCTGTCTGTGTCTGTCTGTCTGTCTGTCTGTCGTCGTCCGTCCCTCTCTCTCTCTCTCTCTCTCTCTCTCTCTCTCTCTCTCCTCTCACTCTCACTCACTCTCTCTCTCTCTCTCTCTCTCTCTCTCTCTCTCTCTCTCTCTCTCTCTCTCTCTCCAAATTACTAGACATAATTAAAAAAAATGACGGAGACTTGTCAGTGTGTACCTTCCGGCTGTCTTTTTACGAGGAGGAGGAGGAGGAGGAGGAGGAGGAGGAGAGGAGGAGGAGGAGGAGGAGGTGGTGGTGGTGTGGTGGTGGTGGAGGAGGAGGAGGAGGAGAAGAAAAAAAAGGAAAATAAGAAGCGGAGGAGGGTGGGAAGCAATAGGAATAACATGAAAAGAAAGAACAACAAATAGACGAAAATAAAAGAAAAAGAGAATCGATTTTTTCCCGAAAGCCGAACCCGCCCCCCGCCCGCCCTCCCCGTTGCGCCAGAGGAGAACACTCGGTCGCTCGCAATTGCCTCACGAAAGCCTGCCTTTGATCGCCAACGAGCCTTAACGGTGCCGCCCTCCCCCACCCCCTTCTTCTATTTTCCTCTTCTCTTCCTTCTTCTTCCTCTTCCTCTTCTTCTTCCTCCTCTTCCTTCTTTCCTTTTCCCTCCCTCCTCTCCTTCCTTCTTCCTCCTCCTCTCTTCCCTTTCCTCTCCTCCTCCCTTCTTCCTTCTCCCTCCCTCCTCTCCTCCTTCTTTCCCTCCTCTCTCCTTCCTTCTTTCCTCTTCCCTCCCTCCTCTCCTTCCTTCTTTTCTCTTCCCTCCCTCCTCTCCTTCCTTCTTTCCTCTTCCCTCCCTCCTCTCCTTCCTTTTTCCTCTTCCCTCCCTCCTCTTTCTTCTTCCTTCTTTCTCTTCCCTCCTCTTCTTCCTTCTTTCCTCTTCTCTCCTCCTCCTCCTTCCCTTCTTTCCTCTTCCCTCCCTCCTCTCCTTCCTTCTTTTCTTTCCTCCCTCCTCTCCTTCCTTTCTTTCCTCTTCCTCCCTCCTCTTCCCTCCTCTTCTTCCTTCCTCTTCCTTCCTCTTCTTCCTTCTTTCCTCTTCTTCCTCCTCTTCTTCCTTCTTTCCTCTTCCCTCCCTCCTCTCCTTCCTCCTCTGAACACCCAAAATGGCGAACAACTGAGCCATAATTACCGCTCGTTCGTTTTGCTTTCCGAACCGAGTGTCGAACCAACCGCTGAATATCTCCTCCGCTTATTGTGAATGTGGAGTGATTAAATTAATTGTCTGTCTCTGTCTCTGTCTGTCCTGTCTGTCTGTCTGTCTGTCTCTGTCTCTGTCTCTCCCTCTCCTTCTCCCTCTCCCTCTCTCACTATTTTTTTCTTTATTTCTTTCTCTCTCTTTATGTGGGTGGCAATTATGCAATGATTTATTATAACAACTGCGCCTGCAACTATTTTAAAGAGGGGATGAACGCAGAAGAGTAAAGGTATATCGTAAACTCCCTCTCCCCCTCTCCTCTCTCCCTCCCTCCTCCCTCTCTTCCATCGTTCTCTCTCTTTCTCTCACTCACTCACACCTCACCCTCCTTCTTCCTCTTCTTATTATTATTTTATTTTTATTTTATTTGTATTTTCTCCTCCTCTGCTCCCCCCCTCTCTCTCTCTCTCTCTCTCTCTCTCTCTCTCTCTCTCTCTCTCTCTCTCTCTCTCTCTCTCTCTCTCTCTCTCTCTCTCTCTCTCTGTCTCTGTCTGTCTCTTCTCTCTCTCTCTCTCTCTCTCTCTCTCTCTCTCTCTCTCTCTCTCTCTCTCTCTCTCTCTCTCTCTCTCTCTCTCTCTCTCTCTCTTATATTCACCTTTCCATACTATTTGTGCTTACATTGGTGACATTAATGAAGAGTGATGATGATGATAAAAATGATGATGATGATGATGATGATGATGAGGAGGAGGAGGAGAAAATGGCAGAGAAGGAGAAGGAGGAGAAACAGAATGAGAATGAGGAGACGGAGAAGAAGAAAAAAATAGAAGAGGAAGGGAGAAGAGCGAAGGTCCACCCCGCCACTGCCCTCACGACCGAACTCTGACCTATCGCTAGTCATGACCAACCTGACCTCTACTTCGTCACAGACACAAGGAACTCAGCGGGGAACAAAACAAAAACAAAAGTAAAAACAGAAGAAAACCAAACACACAAAAACAGGAGCCAGAGAAAAGGAGATATCATTACGCCGACGCAGACAGAATCGGACGAAAAAAAAACGCAACAGAGAGAAGGAAAGAGAGACAAACAGAAAAAGAAGAAGAGGAAAACTAAACATACACAATTACAGAAAACGAAATAAAGAAAATAATTTGAAATTACACCGACACAGACACGAACCGTTGAAAAATTCGCAACAAAGAGAAAGAAGCAAAGACGAACAGAAAAAAGACAAGACAAAAAAAGGAAAACGAAACAGAAAGAGAGACAGCGAAAAGGCCTGAAGATTACGCCGACACAGAAATAAACCGAGAAAAATACACAACAGACAAAGAGAGGACAGCAGAACCGTATTCATGTTGACAAATGTGGAAAGGTATGAATGAGAACGAATATCTTCACAATTCATGTATTTAACCGGTTTCGATTATATCTTCGTCAGAAATACATCTAATCGAAATAGATATAATCGAAACCGGTTAAATACATCTCTTGTATTGTGAAGATATTCGTTCTCATTCATACCTTTCCACAGAGGACAGCAGACAGACACGGACAGACACGCACACCCAACCCGCAGTCACAGGAGAAACTTCCCGTGATAAACCCGGGTCGCGCTGTCAAGGCTCCAGGATACGCTGTCTGCTTTATTTCCCCTTCCTCTTCCTCTTTCTCTTCCCCCTCCTCCTCCTCCTTCCCTCCGCTCT